TCGGGTTCCCGGCTGGCTTGTCTCCCACTTGCTTTCATTTGTCTCCCCAGTGCTTTTCATTTGTCTCCCAAGCTGGGTGCTTGTGGTCGGGTTCCTGGCTGGCTTGTCTCCCACTTCCTTTCATTTGTCTCCCAGTTCTTTTCATTTGTCTCCCAGGGTGGGTGCTTGTGGTCGGGTTCCAGGCTGGCTTGTCTCCCACTTCCTTTCATTTGTTTCCCAATTCTTTTCATTTGTCTCCCAGGCTGGGCGCTTGTGGTCGGGTTCCCGGCTGGCTTGTCTCCCACTTCCTTTCATTTGTCTCCCAGTTCTTTTCTCCCAGCTCTGGGCTGCTGCGGCCGCCTCTGCCTTGCAATCCTTTGTCTCCCACCTCTGGACGTCGCAAGCTCTAGTTTCGATTTTGAAAACACAAACTGTTTGGGGTCTACGGTGGTGTAATTTGTCTCCCAGGCTGGGTGCTTGTGGTCGGGTTTCCGGCTGGCTTGTCTCCCACTTCCTTTCATATGTCTCCCACTTCTTTTCATTTGTCTCCCTGGGTGCTTGTGGTCGGGTTTGCGGCTGGCTTGTCTCCCACGTGCTTTCATTTGTCTCCCACTTCTTTCATTTGTCTCCCAGTTCTTTTCATTTGTCTCCCACTTCTTTTCATTCCCCAAACAGTTTACTGTTAGGGGTTCTCAATGCTTTAAAGAATGGTCGCCTTGGTGCTGGATGGTCTGGTCGGGTTCCCAGCCGGCTTGTCTCCCACTTCCTTTGTCTCCCAGTTCTTTTCAGTCACGGTTCCCGGCTGGCTTGTCTCCCACTTCCTTTCATTTGCATCCCAATTCTTTTCATTGTCTTTCAGGCCACTTCCTTTCATTTGTCTCCCACTTCTTTTCATTGTCTCCCAGGCTGGGTGCTTGTGGTCGGGTTCCGGGCCGGCTTGTCTCCCACTTCCTTTCATTTGTCTCCCACTTCTTTTCATTTGTCTCCCAGGCTGGGTGCTTGTGGTCGGGTTTCCGGCCAGCTTGTCTCCCACTTCCTTTCATTTGTCTCCCACTTCTTTTCTGCTTGTGGTCGGGTTCCCGGCCGGCTTGTCTCCCACTTCCTCTTATTTGTCTCCCACTTCTTTTCATTTGTCACCAACTTCTTTTCATTTGTCTCCCAGGCTGGGTGCTTGTGGTCGGGTTCCCGCCCTACACTTGCTTTCATTTGTTTCCCGGTTTTTTTCATTTATCTCCCAGAAATGCTTCATTTGTCTCCCGGGTCCGTCACTGCTGGTGCCATGTAGCATTTCTATTCATTTGTCTTTGTCACTGCTAATTTCCGCCCTTTTCCGCTGGCCATGCAGCATTTCTATTCATTTGTCCCCCAGGCTTGTCACTGGTGGTGTCCGCCCTTTTCCGCTGTTTCTATTCATTTGTCTCCCAGGTCTGTCACTGTTGGTGTCCGCCCTTTTCCGTTGGCCATGTAGCATTTCTATTCATTTGTCTCCCAGGTCTGTCACTGCCAGTGTTTTGTCTCCCAGGTCTGTCACTGCTGGTGTCCGCCCTTTTCGTGCAGCATTTCTATTCATTAGTCTCCCAGGTCTGTCACTGTTGGTATCCGCCCTTTTCCGCTGGGCATGCAGCATTTCTATTAATTTGTTTCCCGGGTCTGTCACTGGTGCTGCCGCCCTTTTCCGCTGGCCATGTAGCATTTCTATTCATTTGTCTCCCATGTGATTTCTTTCTTTTTGTCTTTCAGGTTTGGTGCCTGCGCTGCTGTTTTCTGCCCTGTCCGCTGGAACAGGTTCGCCTGTGAAAGGTTCTTGCTCCTTTGCAAGGGGTGCGTGACTGTCTCCGGGATTGCATTCCTGCCGCACTGTGTAACTCTCTCAGCTTTGTTTTCCTTCTCGGGCAACCGTTGGATGAATGACCGGATTGGATTTCGGCGGTGTGGCAGCGATCTCTCTATTCAGTTGGGGCGGAGGGCATATGTCAGGCACCAAAAATCAATTTCACATCCTTCGCTCCTCATGCTTTTGTTTCTTGTCCTCACGTGGTCAGCTCCCCGCTGACTGAGCAGCATGACCAGCATCATGTTCGCGCTTGAAGAATAATTCCCCAAAAGGTTTACTGTTAGGGCTTCTCACTTCTTTCTTAAGATGTGTCCCCCCGCTCTGTACTGCTGTGTCCGTCTCTGCCTTGCAATCCTTTACATTTATCTCCCAGCTCTAGTTTCGATTTTGAAAAACACGAACTGTTTGGGGTCTACGGTGGTGTAATTAGTGCGTATGATCATGGTTTCACACGAGAGTGAAGAGTGGGATCATTTGGAGTTTCATCAGCACCTATGGCACCTATGGCTCAAAGTTTGGAGCGTTCGGTCATTGTCATATTTCCCCAAACAGTTTACTGTTAGGGGTTCTCAATGCTTTAAAGAATGGTCCCCTTCGGGTTCCCGGCCGGCTTGTCTCCCACTTCCTTTCATTTGTCTCCCAGTTCTTTTCATTTGTCTCCCAGGCTGGGTGCTTGTGGTCGGGTTCCCGGCTGGCTTGTCTCCCGCTTCCTTTCATGTGTTTCCCACTTCTTTTCATTTGTCTCCCACGTCCTTTCATTGGTCTCCCACTTCTTTTCATTTGTCTCTCAGTTCTTTTCATTTGTCTCCCAGGCTGGGTGCTTGTGGATTTGTCTCCCACTTCTTTTCATTTGTCTTCCAAGCCGGGTGCTTGTGGTCGGGTTCCCGGCTGGCTTGTCTCCCACTTCCTGTCATTTGTTTCCCACTTCTTTTCATTTGTCTCCCACGTCCTTTCATTTGTCTCCCAATTCTTTTCATTTCTCTCCCAGTTCTTTTCATTTGTCTCCCAGGCTGGGTGCTTGTGGTCGGGTTCCCGGCTGGCTTGTCTCCCGCTTCCTTTCATGTGTTTCCCACTTCTTTTCATTTGTCTCCCAGTTCTTTTCATTTGTCTCCCAGGCTGGGTCCCACTTCCTGCATTTGTCTCCCACTTCCTTTCACTTGTCTCCCAGGCTGGGTGGTTGTGGTCGGGTTCCCAGCTGGCTTGTCTCCCACTTCCTTTCATTTGCCTCCCACTTCTTTTCATTTGTCTCCCAGTTTTTTCAATTGTCTCCAGGCTGGGTGCTTGTAGTCGGGTTCCCGGCTGGTCTCCCACTTCCTTTAGGCTGGGTGCTTGTGGTCGGGTTCCCGGCTGGCTTGTCTCCCACTTCCTTTTATTTGTTTCCCACTTCTTTTCATTTGTCTCCCAGGCTGCGTGGTCGGGTTTCCGGCCGGCTTGTCTCCCACTTCCTTGCATTTGTCTCCAACTTTTGCCCCAAACAGTTTACTGTTAGGGGTTCTCAATTCTTTCTTAAGATGTGTCACTGCTGGTGTCCGCCCATTTCCACTGGCCATGTAGCATTTCTAATTTATCATTTTTCTCCCAGGTCTACTGCTGGTGTCCGCCCTTTTCCGCTGGCCATGCAGCATGTCTATTCATTTGTTTCCCGGGTCTGTCACTGGTGCTGCCGCCCTTTTCCGCTGGCCATGTAGCATTTCTATTCATTTGTCTCCCATGTGATTTCTTTCTTTTTGTCTTTCAGGTTTGGTCCATGCACTGCTGTTTTCTGCCCTGTCGGCTGGAACAGGTTCACCTGTTGCGTGACTGTCTCCGGGATTGCATTCCTGCCACACTGTGTAACACTCAGCTTTGTTTTCCTTTTCGGGCAAGCGTTGGATGAATGATCGGATTGGATTTCGGCGGCGTGGCAGCCATCTCTCTGTTCAGTTGGGACGGGGGGCATACGTCAGGCACCAAAAATCAATTTCATGTCACATCCTTCGCTCCTCATGCTTTTGTTTCTTGTCCTCACGTGGTCAACTCCCCGCTGATTGAGCAGCATGACCAGCATCATGTTCGCACTTGAAGAATAATTCCCCAAAAGGTTTACTGTTAGGGCTTCTCAATTCTTTCTTAAGATGTGTCCGCCCGCTCCGTACTGCTGTGTCCGTCTCTGCCTTGCAATCCTTTACATTTGTCTCCCAGCTCTGGGCTGCTGCGGCCGCCTCTGCCTTGCAATCCTTTGTCTCCCACCTCTGGACGTCGCAAGCTCTAGTTTCGATTTTGAAAACACAAACTGTTTGGGGCCTACGGTGGTGTAATTCAATTCAACATAGGAATTGGACATGCTTGTGTGTTTGTTCTGCCATCCCCAACCTGGTTCCCAAAAGAAAGTCCCACAAAAGTCGACACACTTCTACAAATTAGACATGGAACCTTTAGAAGGACAAAGTGGCATTGCTGAGGTCGGTGCGGGAGAAGGCCTTGCTCGTGAGTCTCCTGTTGAAGATTTCCTGATCCTCAAACAGAGCACTTTCATTGCCATCGCCAAAGTGGCAGTCATCAGAATTTGGCCACGATAATCTCCAGAGTCAGTCTTGGGTGATCTGGGTGATCTCCAGGTCCGTTTGCAACAACCTTTGGTGGCGAGGGGCTTGAGCGGCTTGAGCGGCTCGATGCTCAGAGCATGTTTGGCTCGACGCTCTATGCAAGACAAGCGTTGTTTCCACAGCAAGACATGACGAGATACCCAAAACCATACATCGTGAGATAACTGTGTCATAAGAACAACTAATACTTGTCGTACATGGTTGGCAGTGGGCGGTGTGGATCGCATGTTGAGGCATCGAGCTGCAGGAGCAGATTCATCGGTTCGGGCTGCAGAAGACGGACAATTTTCATCATCGAAATTAATCCAACCATGTTTTGATGTCACGACAGGTATTTGCAAGAAGCTACTAGTAACAAGGGCATCGCTACTAGTAGCTCCTGGCATTACTACTAGTAACAAAAAGCTACTACTAGGAGCCCTCTCCCTCGTCCATCTTTTTGTGGATGTCCAAGCTTAACTTGTCGCGTTTGCGCCATTGACTGTTCCTCATTGTGGACTTGAACAAGTTTACAGTTCTCTGCAAGCCAGCTTTACAAGTAGATTTCTTTTTACAATACTAGTAACAAGAAGCTACTAGTAGCTAAGGGCATCGCCACTTGTATCCAGGGCGTTACTACCAGTAACAAGAAGCTACTAGTTACTATTTGCTACTAGGAAGCTTTCAACTTCAACAGCCGCAAGGCTAGCTGATGCCGTTGCAGGCCGGCTCAGCAGCTCAACAGATTGACTAACTCGTTGATGATTTCTTCGTAACATTGAACATACTTTTTCAAAACAGGGTTAATAGTAATGTAATGCTGTAGACCGTAAGTGTTGTGGCCAGGCCTTCGTGGTTCAAAGCAACAGTGGAATCCAAGTGACGTGAAGGTGCGATATCCGGAGACCGAACGTTTTGCACCAACGACTATGAGACACTCCCAAAAGCCACCAAGAGAAGCAGGCTATCGCCAGATCCCCAAGCACCCAGTGAAGTTGAATTCCCAAAAACGACAAGCACAGCTTTGTAGCTATGGCTCGGGAGCAAATTGTGCAACTTGTGGACCCTGTCGTCCTAGATCCCTGATGCCAACGCACAACTGGTTGTGACTGAAAAGAAATTGCTGGCTGTTGCACTGCAAGAACCGAGATCCCACCAGCTGACAAACGCAGGTGAGATTCTGTCACTTGCAAAGAGCGCTGGTGGCGGCAAT